AAATAATTAATCTAACAATATGTCTTCTAGAATCTTCGCTTTTCGGCTCGCACGGCTCGCCTCGTGTGATTGCGCATCACGCCCACGTACTCCTCCACGTGCTTCCTCGCGTGACCCGTTGCCAACTCCCGGGCTCAACCGAACCACTATCGCTAAGCCCACACGTGCTCCCAAGTCCAGGCCCGTCCGCATGTGCGCCATGTTCATACGCCTCGAGTACCTCGGGCTCATGCAGCATCTCCGCATGCGTGCCTTTGTGCTCGTGCAAACTCCTCTTGCGTGTGGCCAATTCTTTACGCAACAATCTCGTATTTCACTTCGCGTTCGCGTTAACCCATCTCGTGCTCGTATGCCTCGTATTCGCGCCCGCACACGTCTTTTTGGCCATGCACGCGTGGTTTCGGCCCTTTTCTCGACCTTCTTGGAACGTTTCGACCATTGGCTCTCGGCGTGCTCGGGCCTCGAAAGCCACTTCCGCATCAGCTAGCGACGGCGTGGGCCAACTCATCGACCAAACTCCAACTTTACACGACAAACTGAACTTACTGAACATGAAGTCAGTTAAACTGAACATTTAAACTTTAATGGTTCGAGAGCTGCCGGAAGAAATCGAAAATAACTCGGTCATGCTCTTTCTTAAACGTAATCGGACTTAGGCACGGTTTTCTTAAAAATTTTCGAATATGATCCGAACACTTAACTCTGAAATAACCTTACTAACATGATTCTAACAAGAAAGGAAGATTACCTCTCGAAACGTTCGACGAAATTGGAAAATAGGGCGACTCCTTATCTTGCGTGTGCGTCAGGTGCTTATGTTCTTCACTAGCCGTGCGAGTTTGAGGGAAAATTTAGGGAAATTGCTTAACTTTTGGCTGCTGAAAGGGGCTTAATATATGCTGCTTGTCTTAAACGAAAAATGGGGAAAATTTTGTCCCAATATCCTCCTTTTATACTTGGAGCCGTGGGGAGGAAGGAGTGACGAGGGGCGACGTGGTGCCTTAAATCATTGCCAATTGCTAATTTAGGAGGTAATTTGAAGATGACTAATCATCTCCCTAAGCTTGCCACGTAGCTCATAAATTGAAGAGGAAATAGACTTCCTTAGGACTTAGGAAATAAAATGAGTTCCTTTTACTTAAGCACATATATAATACCTTCGGCTTTTTATTTCCCTTAAGGGAATTTGGCACGGCTTGGTGCCCTAACGGGGAAATTAATTGGCCTTAATCACTTGCTAAATGTTTAATTATTAATTAAACATAATACTTAATTACCAAAATTATTTCGAACATATACGGTACGCCGAAAATAAATTTTGGTAATCTCGACTGAACCTAATTAATTCCGAAAATAATAAACGTTAACATTATTATATCGGAATTAAAACGTAATTTATACCGATAAAATATCGGGATATTACAGAACGCATCAATCACTGAAGGTTTAGGTTACGATAACGGTCAGTGAGTCTCATATCCTTATCCTTCTGTGGTCCTGTTCAACACTTAACATAAGTGCTAGTGTATTCCTTCAGTCAAAGACCAACTGAATCGAGAATACACTACAGTCTTTTTCCAAGTGGGGTCTCACTGCCAGTCTAGACTGTGAACGAATAGTTTAGTCTTATAAGGAACCGATAGGTGATCTTTTTGTTGGAAACTCTTCGAACCATACTACCTTAATATAAGACATGGAGTATGTATTGCATAAATAAATAAACTTCAAACATATGTACTTTGACCGAAACATGATTGCCAGATCAAAATGGAATTGATAGAATCTGCAAAACATAGCTTTTACAGCATACCTCTAACAATCTCCCACTTATGCTTTATAAGCTCCTGGCTAAAAAAAAATAACCAAAATTTCTTTCAATCTAATTCTCAAAGACTAGTCTACTATGTTGCCCTAACATCTGACTCCCATTCCTTCTACGTGTCCCGTAAAGACTTTTGCCGCTAGGCTCTTCGTAAAAGGATCTGCTAGGTTGTCCTCTGATTGTATCTTGGCAACAACGACTTCTCCTCGTCCAAAGATTTCTCGTATCAGGTGGTACTTGCGCTCTATGTGTTTACTCGCTTTATGAGCCCGTGGCTCCTTCGAATTTGCTACTGCTCCGCTGTTATCACAGAACACTGTAATTGCAGCGGGCAAACTCGATACCACATCAAGGTCGAGGAGAAAATTCCTGAGCCAGACAGCTTCTTTCGCTGCCTCTGAGGCTGCTACATACTCAGCCTCCGTGGTTGAGTCCGCTACGCATTTCTGCTTGACACTCCTCCATACTATGGCTCCTCCTCCTAAAGTAAACACAAACCCTGAGGTTGACTTACTTTTGTCCCGGTCTGCCTGGAAGTCAGAATCGGTGTAATCCAACGGAAGCAATTCATCTGCCTGGTAAATAAACATGTACTCCTTAGTCCTACGTAGGTACTTGAGTATATGCTTTACCGCAGGTCAATGTTCTGGTCCTGGATTACTCTGATATCTTGCTACCATGCCCACGACATAACAAATATCAGGTCGCGTGCATGAGGCTTCCTACTGTCGATGCATAAGGAATTGCCTTCATGTCCTCTATTTCTTGAGGCGTCTTCGGGGACATCCTCTTAGATAGAGGTATTCCATGCCGAAAGGGTAAATCCCCTTTCTTGGAATCCTGCATGTTGAAATGCTTTAGGACAGTGTCTATGTATATGGATTGGGATAGGAACAACTTTCTCTTCTCTCGGTCGCGAATGACCTTGATTCCGAGAACATGTCCTACTTCACCCAAATCCTTCATATCAAACTGCTTGGATAACCATACCTTTACGTCTGACAACATCTTCACACTGTTTCCAATGAGAAGAATATCATCCACGTACAGCACTAGAAACACCACCACGTTTCCATCACTTTTCTTGTACACACAGTGCTCATCCGGACATTGGGTAAATCCATACGATTAGACACCCTCGTCAAAATGGATGTTCCAAGACCTCGAAGCCTGCTTCAGCCCATAAATAGATCTCTTCAGATTGCAGACCAGATGCTCTTGGCCCTTTGCAATGAATCCTTCTGGTTGCTGCATATAGATGTCCTCGTCCAAATTCCCGTTAAGGAAAGCAGTCTTAACATCCATTTGCCGAATCTCATAATCCATATGAGCGGCCACAACCAAGAGAATCCTAATGGATTTGAGCATGGCTACCGGCGAAAAGGTTTCCTCATAATCGATTTCTTCTTTCTGAGTGTACCCTTTCGCAACAAGCCTAGCTTTGAAGGTCTCAACCATCCCATCTGCTCCTCTCTTTCTCTTATAGACCCACTTGCATCCAATGGCGCGAACGCCACTGGGTGGCTCTACAAGATCCCAGACCTGATTAGTGTCCATTGACTCTATT